GGGGGTCAAAAAAAAGCTCTCCCCTTAGCTAGCCAGATAGCCAGACATGACAATTGATGCTGCCCCCCAATTGCCGCTAGAATCAGAAGCAGGCCCATTGCAGGGCCGGTAGGGCAGGTTTGATTTACTACGTTTTTACATGCACCTTTGCGGGCAGTCGGCCCACGTCCAGCCAGGCAGGTCAAGCGAGAGAGCATTGATCACTGCCAAGATATGTCCTGCCACCCACAACGTGCCAGTGCCTGTGTGTCAGAAGCCTGTCCATTCAGGTTTTGGCGCTGCTGCTTCTGCTGATGTGCGCGTATGAGCCGATGTACCACTGCCTGGTCTCTAGCCCCCAAGACTGGCCGACAGCCAATTGCGATGCCATCGAGGTAGGGGACACTTCTTTAAGCCAACCACATCTAGATCGTTGTGGTGTTGCTCTCATGCTCAGGGTTGACCGCCTCTCCAGGACAATCACTACACCTATGAGGGTGTGCGATTTACCTACTCTGCCCTCGGCATGATAGCAATGGCCATACACTGGTTCCTCATGGTGGACTTGGCTGTCTTCTCCACAGGGTTGTCAGCCTTCGTCCTCGTGTGTGCCCAGGCGCGGCTCGAACACATGTTGTGGAGTCATTCAGAGCAGATGTTGAACATCTGAAGCGAAGTAGAAAACTCTCGAAAGGTCTTGAGTGAGATTGGCCGATTCCTCGTTGCCTTGATCTTCCTGCTCTTAACGTTTGGAAGTGCCATCAGTGTCCTTGACCATACGTACTTCGAGCCTTTGGCTTGACTTGAGCCATGACCTCCCGACTCACGTCCAGCATGTCCAGCTGAAGTGATGACTTTCGGCCTCAGGAGATGCGAGACATCCCGTGTCGTGGTAGCAAAACGGCACTAAACGAAGGCAGACTACAAGCGGTGCTCGGCAGAGACTTCCAAAACGGATTTGCAACAAGGAACACTGTCCTTTGCCTGTTCTCCATCACCGTGCTTCTGTACGAAGACGATTACCGCAGCTTGGTCGAAGCAGCGCTACAGGCCCAGCCCGCCAGCGAGGAGAACAGTCAGGGTGGCAATGACACGATGGTAGGACCGACTCCTTGTCCGCTGAGGCACTCTCATGGAAGACGAGCCTGCCCTTCTTACAGCGGTGCTGCTGTTCGCAGCCAGGCTGCAGTACTTGCGCTTGGTATTCAAACATACCAGATTAGTTGCAATGTACGCTCAAGGTCTTGGCATCGTCCATCCTCCTGATGAATTTGCTCATTGCCCAGCTGAACAGCTCATATGTTTACATCTACCAGGTGGGACCGGTCCAGGTAGCTGCATGAAACATTTGCATGTGAGGATCTGTGCAATCATGAACTGAAAAGTTTGTGGCTGAGGACATGGTTGGCTTCGCCCGCCTGAACCGTGCCCAGAAGATTGTGGAGGCCTAGTGGGAGACAAGCACTCCACTGCGGACTGGACAAGCTAGTGGTACCGTACCTGTTTGTTCCTGTGCCCGTGGAATCAGTGTAGCAATGCTTCGGAAAGGCCGGTGCATTTGTAGTTGAGGTCGGTGATGGTCTGTGGAGTCTCGGATGTGGAACCTGGCTCGTTAGGCTCCCCGTTTTGATCAGGCACTGGCCAACTTCAACAGGAACCAGTGGACGACTCCTCGCTGCAAGACATTGGCATGCCCGTGGACGGCTTTGTTCAGTTATCATGATTCTGAGAGCATCGCATCATGAGGACATTTATTGAGAGCCTCGGGCTTGATCAGCCACTGGAGTTCAACCAGGAGCTTGACAACACACGAAACGGCAACAATTTCCGGTCGCATGGTGTCATTGCATTTGTATTGCGTTATGCGCAGTGCTCGGTCCTCCTCCGCAGGGCGACGTGGGAGTGGCGGGGGGCATGCAGATCACGGAGCCTGCCAGTGAGCATGTGGTCCTGAAGGCACCGCACCTTCAAATCTCTTTGGATCCGTCTCTGCAGCTCGGCCGCAGGACTCCATCCTGCGATTCGGTGGATCGTGCTCTGCAGAGCTGCAGTGGCCAGAAGAGACCAAGCACCGTCGCGGCCTCTTTTTCCACTGTCCGTGCGATGCTGTGCGATCTGCTTAGTGGGATCGCTCCCGTGCAGAGGCGGAGACCGGGAGAAGCTGTCGAAGATTGAGTCCATGGCGAGGAAGGTACCTCCGCCAGAGCCAATCCCTTAACCTACTCCCTGCGCTCGTCTATCAGCGCCTGCGTGCTGCTACTGCATAGCTCCGCACAGTCCACGGTCTGCAACCGCACGTCTTTGCGTGTCGTCGACCTTGTCGTTTTTTCAATCACTCCGAGCTCGCTGTAGGTTAAGAGACATTGCCCGGCTGCTCACTCACGAACCCATGCCAAGTAGAAACAACCCGATGCATTCGCTGCCCTGATATCTCATGAGTCGTGCATGCGTGTGTTTGTTGGGGTTTGATTGTTTGTCTGTGTGTGTGCGTGTTCCAAAGCACGCGGTTGACCCCACGCTGTGCCTGTACGTGTCTGTATTGCGTGATACATTTCTGCCCGAAGGTGCTTCGGAAAGTCGTCCAGGCGACTGCAGAGTGCAGACTTGTCTACTGTCAGCTTGTTCGACTAACCATGGCCCATGGCCGCTTTGCCGCAGGACAGCAAGGGCAACAAGAAAGGCTCATCGAGCCGAGGTGAAGGATCTGCGGTAGGCGGGGGCAAAGATCAGAAACGTGCGCTCCTTGGACCCCATTCGGTGCAGGAGCCGGAGGCAGCTCAGCGTTCGGAAGCAGTGCCGGCGGTGCTGGTGCGCGTGCCGCTGAGAGTCTCTTGTGACCTTTAAGTCTGAAGGCATCGGGGCTTAGGGAATCCCCTGCCATATCAGGTCGTACGTCGACGATTGAGCTCATGTCGTCCCAGCTCGACGACGCCTGGTAGCTTCATGTGTCGCAGCTCTTCACGCACTGTTCGCGCTGCTGGCCGGCCGTGCAGAGTTTCACCATTTTCAAGCATCGGGCGAATTTGCTGTAGATATGTTTTTGAACCGTAGGTTTTCTCGAACACTTGGATGCTGTAGGGCTACAGGCTACAGATGATTGCAGAGCATCCGCCTGGGCAGAAAGCAGAGGGTGTTTTGATTTCACTTCTGCGCTGTCGGTTGTGCACGCGGCGCACGCGGCACTTCTGCGCAGCAGAGCTTTCCTGCGGCGGCTGGCACCATGAGATGTCTCACTCTGAGCCGTCACAGATCTGCGAAGGTGTTTGATGTAGTTGTACGTGCTAACGCGAGCCAAGGGCTTTAGGAGTCGATTTCGATTTGCAGTATCAGGTTAAGGTTTTATAGACCCTGTCCTGGCCGAAAGCCCTGGCGTAGGGGTTACGGAACAGCCGGTCAATACTGTGCGAGGCCACAGGCACAGCGCTTAGAGCACTTGGTGAAGCCGAGCGCTCACAAAAAGCAGCGTGACTCACAGGTAGCACGAGTGCCTGGTTTTTTTCTCCAGCTGATGCATCACCAGTAGCACCCTGAAATTTAGTCTAACCGTCTAACAGATGTCCAGTTTGCAAAACATGGCTCAGGCTCGGGATTCATTTTCAGCAGTTGCAGACCCGATTCGTGCCAGTCTCAGTGAGTCAACGTGGTGCTTCGCGTCTTCATTCTTAGCAGAAGCCTACGGTTACTCAGATACAATTGATGCAGAGGGTGCAGCAGGGAGGCCTGGACCAGATGATGCCCTTGCCGGCCTGTTTTGAACATGCCCCGGCCCGGTGATTCGCATGACCTCTGATAAGCCAGGCATGTGACCAAGCCCCACATGTTCAACGGATCGTGGATGAGAGATGACCTGGCCTCGGCGACTTGTTCCGGGCAGGGTGTGAGAAGCTCACCGAGGTAACCACTCACCAACAACTTCTAGGCCTTTTGAGTTCGGACACTTGCACTTGAGTGTCCGCTTCATTTGCCTGGATCAGGTCAGGCCTTGAAATACGTCCCCGGTCCTGACGTTTGTCTTCGAATTTTCAACTTGCATTGAACTCAGCCGCCCTGCCACTATGCCGAATCTCGGCGAGTTGGAAAGCTCTAGCGAGAGAGTTCCGTCATGTTTCGTCTTTGGTATTTGTGCCTACGATCTGGTTTGTCGTGTGAGGGCCGGGTCGAGACCTGCGTAAGAGCGCAACAACTCAACGACTGAACGTCACTCTCTCCCTCTCTTTCTGTCGTTCTCGCTCGTCTATCAAGCAGTGTGCAGGTTCAGGCCAGGGGTGCAAACTCTGTTTCTCTCTGTTCCGGGCCTTCGGGGAGTTCCGCTGCAACCAACCGTTGCTTGAACGACTTTCTCGCCATTAAAACCATGGAGTTGAAGATGTCGCTGCAATATCTGGCTTTCAGGTTGCACCCTCCAAAGACGTTCCCCAGCGTGCAGGGGGATGAAGGCAGGTGGCAACTCCGTTGCACCACTCGACTCCGTTTGAGATGTCGTCCCCAGGTGCGATCATGTCGTACTACGGAGATGGCCAAGAACCCAAGCAAGCTTGGGCAGGCGAGCTCTGTTACTCGTAGTATGTTGCAGAGACCATTGACCATCGCTGGGACATCGGTCCTGCTGGAAGTGACAGCTCAAGAAAATTGTCCCAGGCGATACACAGAGATGTCGAGTCACGCTTTCTGTGAAATGGCCCGTGCATGGAACAGACCCAGAAGTACCAGGGTTTTGCACGGTCATTATGCTAGCCAGCTTCCCGCAGTTATTCTTAAAAAAGCAGGACAGGATAGGTTGCTCCCGGGATTTGCTTGAGGGTTTGCGCCCAAACAAGGACGAATGCACTGTCGCATAGCCATTTCATGTAATGTTTGCATGACGACCCTGGCTAGCAGGCATACTAAGCATACTAGCTAGAACAGAGATCCTAGAGCTTCACGGTACAAATTCGACTCTTGGAGCCGTTGCTTCCGCTTACGGCACGTGGCTTGTAAGCCTCTGTCAGCCCATCAGATCCCAAACTCCCGTGGCTTGGCTTTTCTACCGCATTCCATCTTCCAAGAGGGCGAGTTTCGAGGTGCGGAAGATCCGTACCTGCTGGGGCCGGAGGCCTTTCCATGAGTGTCCATCTGCGTGTCCAGCTGGGCCAGAAGTCTATGTGCAGGACGAAGGCATCACACATGCACGCCGCGCCTATGCCTCGAGTTTATATCAGTTCCTTTTTTTATGTTGCTGGGACAAGATTCGCTGAGGAAGAGCTCTTGAGGGCGATACGTGAACAGAGACAGCAACTGGACCTAAAGGATGAGCAGCTGGAGGCCCACATCCGGAGGGACCAAACAGTCCATCCCCCCCAACCGCCGCGCTGGCCTGGTTTCTGTGAGGAGCAGAAGCGCCGGCTCGAGCGCTTCCAGGTCGAGCTGGCGCGCTGCCTGGATCCCGATGAGGCAAAGATGGGCCATTGTGGGGCTTATCAGGGGCCATCAGGGTCTGAAGGCGACGAAGGCGTCGCTCAGGCGGAGTGGTGCTTGGCAGGCGAAGCTGCTGCGAGCTCGCCTCGCGAAGGCCAATGTCAAAGCCCCAGCAGCGTGTTGGCAGGGTGTGTGACTGAGTCAGCATGATCCCGGGAAGCGGAGTGGAGCGTGTTCTCTGCCTTTGATAAGGGCTCGAGTTGGCGCACAGGTGTTGCGGGTTGATGGGGGCTTCTTCCGTCTCGACAGTTTCAATCTTCTCGTCGTGAATGCTTCTCGCAAGATTCCCAAAGGCCCAGATCACAGAGCAGGCCGCAGAGCTTGATGACAGCAATGCGAAGGCTGGGGGCGGCGGGCACCAGGCTGATGGAGTTTACACAGCGCGTTGGGCATTGTCCTTCTGGCTCCCCATTGCCGTCCCTGCGCACATGCGGAAGCATCTGCGCGCTGTTTCCGCGCACTCCTCCACTCGTTTCACTCGTGCTTCATGCGGAGCCACGGAGCACAGTCCGACAACCTCAGTATAATGCCCTCTATTTTTTGTGACACAGTGACGGACGAAGGACTCCTTGAAGCCCAGCCCATCCTGCTTGGCAGGCTCGTGGCATGGAGGGTCAAATCTCCGTTCTGACGAATCGGCTAAAGGAAGAGCGGGAAGCCTGGCCTCTCCTTTGAGAGCAGCTGAGTCTCACCGTTTCGCCGTGCGGTGCCTCAGGACAGATAGCAATTCCAAGCTGGTGGCAGAGCTCTGCGCTCTTCGACGACAGCTCGAGGCAGTTGCGCAGAACGGGTCCCAACATGCATTGGATGGCTTTGAAACCAGGCAAGCGGGTCAGGACCCGGACCTCTGATCAGAACTCTAGGAGAAGCAGGGGTCAAGCTACCCCGTCGAGCCCTTGGTGAAAGAAGTACTGGGTAACCTTTGATCCTTGTGACATCGTCTTAAGTCGCGAGTGGTCTGGTATAACAACACTTGCAGCTGCATCCAGTCAGCTAGTGTCTCTCGTTCCTCTGAAGCTCTGCGATGGCAGGCAGAGTATGCGGTGCGAGGCGAGCAGAAGTCCTGGCAGGCCATTGGCACAAACCCTGAACTGGCAGCGTTTCGCACAATGTTAAGCATTGTTGTCGATCCCATGTCGGAGAGCTGAAGCAGAGTGCCCTGGCAAGGAGTGCTTTGAGCAGGAGCAGAAAAAGTCTGGTCCTGACTGTTGCGCTGTTTTTCCTGCGGCACCGGAGCAACCGGAAGCTTAGGTCGGAGATACTGCAGCAGAAACTGGAGGCGCAGGTTAAGGAGGTGCCGTGTGGGTTTGCTCCGAGGTGCCGTGTCCGTTCATGTCTGTTCCGTTGGATTCACCGTGCCATGTTCTGGCTGGAGGAGCTGCCAGAGGAGTTTTTCTCTTCCTTCAAAGTGTTTGTCCATCTGTGTAGTAACTATCCTTTCGGCTTTGCTGAAAAGGGCTAGGTTGTTACGAAGTGGAGCGCGACAGGTCCATGTATCATGTCAAAGACAGCATGCACATCTAGAGCAGCGAGAAAGCTAACCATAAGCCCTGCATCTATCACGCACGACCTGCATGCGCAGCTCCAGCAATGCGTACCTGCGATGCCTCGAGGGCTTGCAGTGAGGCTTCTTGATGAGACAGGAAGCCTTTCAAACTCAGGCCTAGCAGAGGTACAAACTGCAAGCGGTTACGGCTCTGTCTGTGGACTCAACCACGGGGCGGCAAATGCAATCTGTAGACGTATGGGGTTTGAAGGAGGATCTGTCTCCGACCACACTTGTTCGGAGTTTCATGGCCATAACATATGTGGCAGTCGAGGCATGCCCGTAGCTATGCAGAGTTTAAGCTGCAAGGGCAATGAGCAGGATTTGGCTGAATGCAGTTGGACGATTCCAGAGGGTGATTGCTTGGAGCACACCCGGGATTCTGTGATCCATTGCCATTCGAGCTCCGCAACTTCGCCAGCTCGTGACGCAGTGCGCCTCGTGGATGAGGCGGGCCACCTCAGCCAAGACGGATTTGGTCGGCTTGAAGTGCTTCTTCCAGACGGGTGGAGCCCGGTGTGTCAAGCTGGTTTCGGCATCGGGAGCGCATCTGTGGCGTGTAAGTCCTTGGGCTTTGCAGCCGTGGATGTCAGCCCTCCGCCACCCTGCAAAGGGAGCAGGGATTTGTGCGGAAGCAGTCTTCCTCAGCTGCAGCTGCTCTGCGATGGTAGTGAGCCCGATATCTCCAGTTGTCCCAAAAGGCTTGGCGACGAGGTGTTCTGTTCGCCTCATGAGAATGTCGTGCTGCGTTGCATGGGGCAGAGGGCGAAAGCAGCGCCGCACTTAGCACCATCCCCTCCTGTACTGGCTGCAAGCATGCTGCCCTGTTTGTTTCTGCCAGGCAGAAGGCGGTCTCGCAGAAGGGATTTCCGCTTAGTTTGAGTGGTGGTAAAAAGGTGATACAGCGACGTTGGCCGACCTGCCGAGCTGTTGCATTGCTCTGAAGATCCACAGGATCCCTGCCCCGTGCATGCCAAGGCTAAATTTAAATCCAACAACACAAGAGTCCCACGGTCCCATTCTTTGCATTCTGCTTTTTGGTTGCTGGCCGCCTTGGCTCACACGTGATGCATGCTTATTGCTGCAGGCTGCTGCCAAGCAGCTTGGTGCTGAGACGTCGAAGAAGCAGCTGCAGGTGGGGAACGAACACCACCAGCACGATCGTTCTGCAGCATTCAAGTCTGCGTGCAGGAGCAGGTCCTGCAGCTTCAGGTTGGGTGGTGTTGTGGTTGAAAGCACAAGCCACTGGTGCAAATTCGTGGGCAGGAGCTGTCAAAGGCAGGAGAGCAAGCTCTCGCATGGAAGGCAAAGGCAGAGAAATTGGCAGGCGAGCTGCAAGCAGAGGCCCCAGGAAGTGGTGGTCGCGCATGTGGCCGCTTTGTGGATAGGCTTTTAACTTGCTTCCTAGGCCTCGCGTATGGCACAAAGTCTGCTTCAGGGAGAGCCCGGCCCTTGGCAGGAGTGGCCAAAAAGCTTATGTTGGACTAACCAAGGCCAGGTACAGTACCGAACAACGCTGTAGAACTCTTAAGGTTTTGGTGCAAAATTCGCGGAGTCCACGTGACTTTCGAAGTATGTGAGCCACAAACATGGCCACATAAACGCATGGCGCGATGGGTCGGCACATGTGCCGGATGGCGGCCATGAAAGTCTGTTTTCCCATCACGACTGTCTCGACATCTGCAGCCGAAGGTTGCAGGCAGCGCAGCAGCATCGAGATGCTTTCCAAGAAGCGATAGATGAGGCCGGGATTGCATGAGTTAGAATTCACGTGGGTCCTCGATTTGCGACGGGTTGAAAGGCTGCGCGAACAGCCGCGAACCTGGGCGTCATGGAGCAGCGAGCCAGAACCGCCGAGCAAGAGGCCCCGTGACTCCACCCCCTGCCTTCCAAGATGTCAGGTACAGTACAAGTAGTAAGTGCAGCCCATTGCACGGCATGCCAGGTGGCCTATCTCACTACCAAAGTGCAGGCCGCAGAGAAGAAGGCTTCAGAAGCCCATGCCACGGTTGGAGAGCCAGCATTTGGATGCCCCACACCTGCAGCGAGCAGTCTAAGGTCCCAATGCTCGAGGCACGCCTAGCCGAGCAGGTCAGGAAGATGGAAAGCCAGGCCTCTCCACGTAGCTGTAAGTCTCTGAATTCCACGAGAAGCCGCTCGTGTTTCGTTTGAGGACAAGAACTGGCAAAAGGTTTTCTCCAGCTATCCTCTAGTTGGCCAGCTCCTGCCCGCGGCTTGGGTTGCGGATGTTGGAGAAATCGTATGGAACTGCATGCTCGCGGGCGAAAGCTGAGTTCCAAGGTTCCCAAACCCAAAGTCTTCTCCACTGCCCGGCACCAGTTTCCCTTCTTGAGGAATTTGCATGTGCAAGCTCCATCCGGTTCATGTGTGCAAGGTCCAAGCCGGAGGAGACTATTGCAGCAGGCGATGGGATATTGCAGTGACGCAGTTCTGATCACAAGTCTGACTTTCGAAGGTGCCGTGCCATCGGCTGAGGCTCCTGCCTTGCAAGAAGCAGCTGTAATTTCCACATCCAGCTGTCGGAGGTGAGAGACAATGATGCTTCGAAGTCGGCAACTGGGCCGAAGGAGCTCACTCTGGCATTCAGCCAGGCTGAAGGAGCTGAAAGCTTGAAGGGAATCAGCCAGGACCACTGCCAAGTGCTGAGCGGAGTAGCAAGGCGACTACATCTTCCGCATTGCCGCGTGGTTCAAGCAATGTGAAGGGATTAGCAGTTTGATTGTCATGAGTCATGCTTGCTCGATTGGGCATAGCCCGGCTACAGGTGCAGACGCCGCTGCAGACATGTGGCGGTAAGTGCCAGTCCTCGGCAGGAGCTTCGAGGCTGTCACTTTGTCCATGGGCCCCTCCTCTCGCTGTGCTTGCGAGCTCTGCCCGTCGCTTTGGACATCGACGCAGCACCATCTCGCGATTTGCTGGAAAGAAAGCACAGCAGGTGCAGTCATTGCAGGTGCAACAGCGCTGGCGCTGCTTCGAGGGCACACTGTTTCATTGCAGCTACAGGTCCCAAGCCCTGGGTGGTCTGCGATCGTCTTTCAGCGTGTATGTCCCCGATGCCCCACGCATGCAGATGGTGTTGCCATATCCAGATGACTGTGAAGAGTTCCCGGTTGTGTTGTATCTGTCGGACATGGGTTGCTCTCATATGGAGGTGGTCAAAGAGTCGACTGCCCTGGAACACAGTGCGGCTTGTGGTCTGATTTTTCTGGCAGCCGACACCTCGCCTAGGGGTGAGGGCGTACCAGATGAGCCGCGAGTTGACGTTGGCATAGGAGCCAGCTTCTACGTCAACGCAACTCAGAAGCCTTGGGCAGAGCACTACAGAATGCAAGACTATCTTGAGGAGTTGCTTGACCTGATACACAAGAACTTTCCGACTTGTGGGCCCGAAGAGGTCTCACTGATGGGACACTCGATGGGAGGTTTGGGTGCTTTGGCAACGGCCATCCGGCGACCCAAAAGCTTCCGTTCTGTCTCAGTGCTGGCACCCATTGCCCATCCGACGGCCATCCCGGAGCTCTCCCAAAAGGTCGTGCCAGACGTGTGTGGTGCACTGTCGGCCTATCTTGGCTCCGAGGAGGCCTGGAGAAAGTACGATCCCACATGCATGATCGAGGACTGCAGCACAAAGCATGCTTCGCAGTTGCCCCCAATCCTTCTCGACGTGGGGTCGGAGACTCTGCAATCACCACTCGGTGAAGTGTACAGGCCACTTGAGTTTGTCAGCGCATGTTCCCTGCGCGGTGTTCCTGTGGAGCTGCGAGTGCGGGCCGGGTTCGACCATGGCTACTTCTTTGTAACCTCTGTGATGGAAGAGCACCTGGACTTTCACTCAAAGCATCTTGATGCGGCGTGACTGCTCAACGAGCCCTGTTAGAGCGAGAGCGTAGAAAAGGGTTTCCTGTCTTGGTGTGCTCTTTTTGCCAGCTGAGTAGATGCATCACACCTTTGCAGAGGACCTTGCAGCCGCTCACCAAGCTTCCGCAACCAGGCCCTTGCTCCAAGAGGCGTGATAGTCCTATTGCTTAGGTGCCTTGAGAATTTGTGTAGTTTGCTGCTCCTTTATTCTTTCATCCCACAGAGTGATTCAGGACGATTCCGGGACTTCCGGTGCGGAGAAGCTGAAAGGGCCCCCGGTGGAGACCCTCAAGGCAGTGCTCGGAGCAGCACTGGAGAAGGCTGGGGGCGAAGTCGATCGCGTTCGCCAGGACTCGTCATGACTCGGGAGGGCGTCAGGGTCAGCTGTCACTTGCTTGTCAACTGCATGGTGATAGGATCTGGCGGCCAGCCTGTCGGCAACTGCCGCGAGCTCTGGATCGAAGGAGGACCCGCTGGTCGCATCAGTGGTCCATATCGATGCCTGTCGCACCAGTTGCAGGCACCGGAGCCCGAGGCGCAGTGACGTCTGGCATGCACAAGACGGGTGCTTGTGATCGTACTGCCGCAGGCTGCCCCAGACGAGACGGTCAAGGCTGCGATGCATGATAACCTTCGTGCCTTCGTGCATGGAGTTGAGGTTGAATTCCCGACAGCTCGCAAGGAGCTGGGCATCACCCAGCCCGTGTCTGTGGCTGCAGCGAGCGCGAAGGCACAGCTGCGTGGATCTCCGGTGCCTTGCATATGATGTGCGGTTCCCATCGAGGCCGCAGGCTCCGAGCTTCCCGACCCGAAGGCCTATTACTCAGTCCGGCCTTGTGGAATCTTGTACGTGGCTGGCCATGCCCTCTCGAAGCCGCAAGCCAGAGACGAGGAACCATCCGCGGTTCCCGCCGCCGCTCCTGCTGGGAAGGTGCCATGTGGGCGAGATCGCTTTGTTCATGTGCTGCAGTCATGGTGATGCAGGTGCCGCCTCCGCCCCTGAAGCCACAGGCACCAGATGATGTCGATGGGGAGATTGCGCCAAACCTAAGGTAGGAATGCTTCAGGTCGTTGCTAGCCCGCTTCTTGTGTTGGCGAAGCATTGCAGAATCTGACTTGAGGATCAGTAACCTCTTTAGACGGGCCGGTGAAACTCGTGTAAACGATGTGAAGCCCACTACATGAAGTAGCGCACCAGAACCGTTTGATAGGAGGCGGGCGATGCAAAATCGGCTCTCGCCGACATGAAGGCTCCCTCAAATGCTGCTCGTGATAGTGGATAGTGGATGTGTGCAGCGCTGCTGTAGCGACTGTGGTCTGCAGGCTAGCCCACCCTTGCCGAAGCCAAAGGCCAGTAGTACAGAAGTCGAAGGTGCAGCACTCGTGGAATTCACTGCCTATGAAGGAGCCAGATGCGAAGCTGGGCACTGCTCCTGGCGTCCAGGCACGGCAAACGCATGAGTTACGGAAAGCCGTGCACGGCATGGACAGCTGGCAGGTGCCACTGCCACCTGCGAAGGAGGGAATTGACTGGCTGACCACGTGGGTGAGGTCCAGTTGGTGGAAGTCAGTGCCTGTGCAGGAGCCAGGTGCGAAGGTGGGCGCTGCTCCTGGCGTTCAGGCGCTGCAAAC